TGGCCACATTCATTATACTTGTAGGGCTTCTCTCAAACACAAATACCCTAGTAGATAATAAGCTTTGAACATTGCATGATTGTTTCTCATTACACTTTATATGCATATTTTATATGTATAATAGTTGCCTGGAGCATGAGGTTTTTTTGTTGTTTTTGTTTTTCTAACATTATTCTCAGATTCATAGCATTGATAAGTTCTCTCTCCAGTATAAATATCCTGGTAGTTACATGTGGTAGAGCCCTCATCGAAGGCCTTATTTTATTGTATGTGTAAGGTTTTCCGCAGATAGCTACTTCCTCATATTCCCCTTATCAAACTCATAGACATTAGTACAAAGAGAATTTATTTGTTGGTGGAAGGATCATAAACTTTTAGTAAATAACCCCTCAATTTGATCTTATTTAGAAAGTTTTTTTTTTTTTTCATATTTAAGTCTCTGGTCTTCAGAAATACTTGAAAATTTAACCCAATCTTATATTTGAATTTGTTCAAATAATTATTTGGAAAATTGACTAGGTGACTTTTCAGATTTTCAAAATTTCCTTTCTAGGAAAATGCCTTAAAAGCTGCTATACACAGTACAGAACACATTTTAATGCAAAAGTAATTGACTTAAAACGTAGGTTTTTTTCCCAAAAATGTTGTATTTTCTTTCTTTTTTTTTTTAACATTACATATTCTTTATTTGATAGTATATACAAACCACACTAAAATGTCTTTCAGCGAGTAAAAGGCAGTGTTTCAATACAGGGAATCCTAATTAGATTGACATAGGTAAGACTAAAAATATAAAGTAGACATCACTACCTTATCTTCAGCCCTTGCCTTTAATGGGTTAATGAATACAAAATAAAACACAGATGAGTGAGTCTGCTTGGTTTTGAGAAGTGGTCTTCCCAGTATTTGTATATTCACATAACCATGGACATAAGTCTAAGTAAAAAAAAAAATTATGGTAGGTTTTGCCATAACATTCATTATCTTTGTAGAAAGGTTGATCATTACTAATGAATTGCCAATTATATCTTCAGAAAGAGCAAACAGTGATAGCATTTACAGGACTGAAATAATTATTGTCACAATTTAAAAACTCAACAATATTCATCTAACCACAAGCCAGTCTTAAAACAGGACTATCTAAGAAAAAATATCCTGTCAGCTACTTACGATATGAGTTCTGGTATAGGAGATTAATTAAATTATGGTTCACATAAAAAAGGTGAGACAATGGTGCTGTCAGGCAGTATGGTGCTTGAGGCACATGACTGACCATGGTTTGAGTCTAGAACTTGGTGTTTTGCTTTCTCTCATTTACTTTCTCTCCCTCTGGTCAAATAAAAAAAGTAACAAATTGAATTAAATAATTATTAAAAAAAGGTGAAATATTTTCTGTTTTAATATAAATAAGACAATGGTCAACCATTACTCATTAGTAATTTTTTTGAGATATGCTATAAACGCTATTATTTCTTTTTTGTTTGTTTGTTATTAAAACATTTATTTTGGGAGGTTACTTGCCTTCTTGGCATAGCTTAGCATATCATAATAAATAAGCCACAGAAGGAAATGTTAACAAACAAGTCAAAGAATTTTACTTAAAGAATTTCAGATAAAAGATAATCTAACTCTGTCAATTAGGTAATATTAATTACTTTATTTAAAAATAATAATTATTCGTCAGGCTGACCCTGTAGAGTGGTGGATGAGGGAGCCAAATCACACATGACCAACCTTGTGATTCAAACCCCGAATCTTGTAGTTTGAAAAACATGCCAGGAGCATGCATGTGCATTCCCAGAAGCCCAACACAATGGAGAAATAGAGAAGAAGGGATTGCTTTTTTCTCCTTTCTTCTTTCTGTCTCTCTGTCCTCTCCAGCGACTGAATGGTCCTGCTAGCAAAATAAAAAAAATAAATAAAAATAAAAAAAAGTATTTTAAAATAATTACAAATGTAAAAAGGAAATAGGCATTGTAATAAAAGAAATATACAACATAAAAGAGGTTTTTAAAATAGCCAGTGGAATTTCTAGAACAGCAAAAACATAGTTATTTAAATGAAAAACCCTTACATTTATACAAAGTCACTAGGCATGTCTGGAAACAAGACCAAATGACTGATAACCAAGAGTAATGTCAGACAATAAAAATAGAACTACAAGTGCTTTAGCCATTGAACTTAGCAAATAAAGACTTTTCAGTATCTATGGTTAGTTTCCTACTAACGTAGAGTAATAGGCATTTCTCATGACGGACACCTGGGACAAGTACTTCAGCCCTCTCTCAAGAAGTGGAAATATGAGGGTACTACAAAACATTCACAGAAAATGGAATTAAAGTATGAATTTATCTGGGGGCAAAACATGTATAATTGTATTGCACTATGCATTTCCTATGAGCTTTTTTAAAATTATTATCATCATAATCTTCTTTATATTACATTGGATTACATATAACTTTACAGTGTATTACATTGCTTTTTCAAAAGGGAATGCCATGCATGTCAGTCAATACAGAGACATTAATCTCTCTGCTTCAACATTCCATATCTTTTTTATGTTTTTCCCAATCATTATTATTATTATTCTAGTTATTTTTTAAAACAGTCAATCACTATTTCTCACTTTGCTTGTAAAAATACTTTACACATCATGAAATAGTTCTCAGACCAATCCAGTTGAGAATACTATACATGTCAACATCAACAGGTAATAAGCCATATCTGTTTCTCACTAACGTCTTACCTCTGTGTTGTTCTCTTGCTATCTTTCTCTATCCACTTCTCCTCACCCCTCCCCATTCCACACTGTCCTATTCTCGTTAAGTACCTTCACTGCTTTTATGTCCTCCAATTTTTCACTCTCTACCATAGAGTGCGGATAGTCAGTATATATTGAGTGGATACATACAATATCTTTCTTTCATAGCCTGGCTTACTTCACTCAGCAAATCCTCCATATCTGACCACTTTCTAGGATCAAATGGTAGTTCTATTTGTAGATCTTTGAGGAACCTCCATATTGTTCTCCACAGTGGTTGAACTAGTTTACATTCCCACCAACAGTGTAGGAGGGTTCCCTTTTCACCACATCCCCGCCAACACTTATCACTTTTTATATTCTTAATCTTTGCCATTCTGACAGGGGTTAGGTGGTATCTCATTGTGGTTTTTATCTGCATTTCCCTTATGATGAGGGATGTCGAGCATTTCCTCATATGCTTTTTGGCTGTTCGTATGTCTTCCTTAGAGAGACTTTTGTTCAGCTCACTTTCCCATCTTTTAATCGGGTTAATCATTTTTTTTCGCATAAGGCACTTGAGTTCCCTATGTATTCTCGTTATCAGTCCCTTGTCTGAGGCATATTTAACAAAAATATTTTCCCATTCTGAGGGTTGTCGGTTCACACTTGTTACTGTGTCCTTTGCTGTGCAGAAACTTCTTAGTCTAATATAGTCCCACTTGTCTATTTTAGGGATTATTGCCTGTGCTTTGGGAGTCTTATTTAAGAAGTCTTTGCCTACTCCAATGTCTCCCAGAGTTTCCCCAGCATTTTCCACAAGTAGTTTTATTGTCTGAGGTCTTAGGTTCAGATCTTTGATCCATTTTGAGTTGACTGTTGTTAATGGTGAAAGATGGGGGTTCAGTTTCATCTTTCTGCAAGTGGATACCCAATTTTTCCAGCACCATTTGCTAAAGAGGTTTTCCTTTTCCCAATGGATTGACTGATATCCTTTGTCAAAGATCAGTTGTCTGTAAGCTTTGGGGGTTATTTCTGGGGTCTCTATTCTCTTCCATTGGTCCACATGTCTGTTTTTATGCCAATACCATGCTGTTTTGATGACCACAGCTTTATAGTATATCTTGGGATCAGGGAGTGATATGCCTCCTATTCCATTCTTCTTTCGCAGAATTGCTTTTGCAATATGAGGTCTTTTATGATTCCAGGCAAATTCTATGATTGTCTTTTCTAGATCTGTGAAGAATATTTCTGGTATTTTGATTGGAATTGCACTAAACATGTAGATTTGAATGTTGTATTTTCTCGATCTCCTGACAGTGAAATTTTTATTATGGGTCCTATATTATTTATAACATCCATATTGCTATTCACACTTACCTGTACTCCCCAGTCTTTCCTATGTGCAAGCTCTCAAGATCATAATTTTCATATTTTCCAAACAACATTTCTTGGCAGGAATCTTCTATACCATGATTTGGAAGCATGTGATGGGTGTAAGGAGAAGACATAGATGGGTGTATGGCTATTGTCTTCTCTCTTTTCACACTCCTTTTTTCCAAAGGTGACCCAGTTGGGCTTAGAGACCCAGAGAAACCAAGTTCCTATGGTTCTCTAACCTCTCATCTCTATACAAATTCCACTGAGCATGGTGCAGACATTCTTCTGAGAGAATTCTATGGCCATATCCCTGAATATCAACAGTCCCTAAGAACCAGTGATTTCTTCCTCTTTTCCCTTCTCTTCTGGGCTTCCGTCTCAGGGCAGATAACCTGGACAAATCACACCTGCATCTTGAGACTATGCCTTTAAAGGTATGAGCAAAACTCTTTCAGCTATTACTGCTGCACAATTCTAGAAGTCTACAGGCTTTCTATGTAGAATAGCATGTCATCTGCAAGTAGAGATAGTTTACTTCTTCTTTTCCAAAGGGGATGCCTTTTATTTTATTTCCTAGCTGCCCATTCTCAATAGTCTAGACAATATACTGCACATTCATACTACCTATTTCCTAACACCAATTTGTGAATCTTAAATCACAAATTATTAAACACATTATGACTTACTTTTACTATGTACATATTTAAATACATACATTTGAGAGTTAAACCTGTATTAGGATGATAAATGGGATAAAGGAGATGAAATAAAAATAAAAGAATGACACTAAGCCATAAAAGTGAGTATGATTAACTGTTCTCTGCTCTAAGGTTCAAAAAAATGTAATTCTTAACTGTAGTTTTAAAAATTTAATACTTACAGTACTTCTTGTAGAAAAAATGAGATAGTTTGGACTGTAACAGTAATACCTGTGAAGGAAAAGGCCAAATTTGAATATTAAAACTAATTTCTCCTTCAAATATGAGAGATTCTATACATGGTCAGGGTACCCCTACCTTGTTAAGTTTTACCCAATCTCTTTCCTGGACAGTGAACTCAGGGTTAAAATTGGGGCCATCAGTGATCTCTAGGTGTGTTAAGTTTGCTTAGTACCTAAAGACACTAAAATGTAATGGGAAGCAAATACTCTTTTTTTTTTTTTTTTAAGAAAAAAACCATTGAAGGATATTGGCTCTAACCCCTTAGCTCAGAAGTTGACTTAAAAATAAAAATAATAAAGATAGGGATTTCAAAAACCTGTAATCTTATTTGGAACATGGAAACCAAGAGCAGTATCGGAATACTTGTTCATTTTCATGTTTATGTTACTGTCCAGGGAGCTTATTTATATGATTCATCTAAATCTGTACTGTCCCCATAGACATATAATGTAAGCAACCTATCTAATTAAAATTGTTCTGATTGCCACATTTAAAGTATAAAAAATAAGAAATTAATTTTTCGAGAGATTTTTGCTATAGAGCATATGTGCTGTCAGAGAGACAGAGACAAAAAGCAGGAAATCACCCTCCCAGGGGGGATGGCCATGCTGTAATCCCTCCTCCTCCATTTTTCTCCTGGGATCTTGGTTACACAATGCCACACGTCTGGTGTGAGTTTGAAGCTGCCAGGTCTAGGACTTGAAGCTGCGGTCGGTCATGTGAGCAGCCAGCAATGTAACCACTATGCCATCTGCTGGTCCTGAGAGATTAATTTGAATAATATATTTTATTCAACATGTAATCATTATTAAATAATTATTAGAGACATTATACATTGTTTTTTTTGTGTGTTAAACCTTTGAAATGTGGTGTCTACATTATGCTTACATTGCATCTCAAATTGGACTATCAACATTTTTTTTTTGTGTTAGAGTTATTTAAATTTTTTTATTATCGGGGCCAGTAGTGGCATGATGATTAAGATGCTGGACTCCCATATGGTTGACTGTGGTTTGAGTCCCAGACCTGGCAGCTTGCTTTCTCACTTTTCCTTTCTCTCTCTGTCTCTCTCTGGTGAGATTTGAAAATAAATGAATAAGAGTAAATATATAAAATAAAATTATTCTAGTTATTAATATTATTATTATTTTTAATTTGCTATCTGGTATATGCACTTACCAGACACAAACACCGAGAGAGAGAAAGAGAGAGATAGAGAGAAAATTAAAGTAAGAAAGCAAGCTGCCAAGTCTGGGACTCAAACCATGGTCAGCCATGTGGGACTTGAGCACCTTAACCACTATGCCACCTGATGGCCCCAGACTAGTCACATTTCAAGTGCTCAAAGAAAACATACATGGCCAGTGACTATCATGAAGCATCATCTTAAAATTCCTTCACCTCATTAATCTATTCTATGCACTGTATAACTAAATGCCACTGAAACTACTCCATTTTTAAAGTCTTAAAGGCATTATTTTTTTCCCTGTGGGTAGTGGGGTAAATTGCTGGAATATGATTACAGTTGCTCCTACCTGTTTAATGACAACTGGGATTTCACCACCAGTTCTCTAGCATGGGGAACCCCTTTACCAGTCTGTGTGTCTCAGGAATCCCCTTTCTCAGCCTTTTTCTCATCCCTTGCATTTAGTATTCACTGCATGAAGCATTTGCAATCATGCAAGATTACATATTTTGTTTATAAATGTGTAATTTATTGTCCACCCATAGTAGTGTTCAGAAAAAATAAAGATGATGTTGGATTTTTATTCTTGTGTTATGGTGTGTCTTGTCACTTTCTGGTGCTTATCTAATGTATGCTTTTTATATGGACAGAATTACATTATTCTATCAATTGTGTGGTGTTGGGTGATATCTATTGAAAAATACATACCCTTAAAAGACATTTAAGATCCTCTATAATGAACTGATTTATTTAAGAATCTTGTTGTAGGGATGGAACTTGATTGCTAAATGAGAAGTGACTGTATGTAATTTCTTTACCAGAATTATACAAGAGTTAATCATGCTCTAAGTTCTTATTTTTAACAAAGTATCAGTATAATAAAAACACTTTATACATATGTTATCTGTATATTAATATATACAGATCAAAGAAAACGTGTTTATGTATTGGGTGTCAGAAAAGTCACGATGTGTTTTTATTTTCTATTTAAAAATGCATCATGACTTTTCTGATGATGCAACATTTTTTACATATCAGCTATTGTTTAAATATATCTTCCCCAGGGACTAGAAGATGGCATAATGGTTATGTTGCTAGATTCCCACACAGTCAACTGCAGTTCAAGTCCTGAACCCAGCAGCTTAAAATTCATGCTAGACATGCATGTGCATGCTCAAAATCCTGAGAGGAGAATGGAGAGGGAATGCAATGTGGCCATCCCCGTTGGCATGTGATTTCTCTCTTTCTCTCTGTCTCTCTTTGTCTCTCCAGTGAGCACATGTGCCCTATAGCAAAAATCTCTTAAAAGAAAAAGAAAAAAGAAAAATCTCTCCTAAAATTCTTGTGTTGTGAATTTGCTACTTTTTTTTTGTTTTGTTTTTAAGAGGTTTTTGTCATGGGGCATGTGTTCTCTGGGGAAAAAAGAGAGCGAGAGAGAGACACAGATTATGAGAAGGAAAGTGAGAAATCATCCCCGAAGGGGGATGGCCACATGGCAATCCTTTCTCCTCCATTCTTCTCCTGGGATCTTGGGCACGAATGCACAAGCTCCTGGCATGAATTTCAAGCCACTGCATCCAGTACTCAAAATGTGATCGACCATGTGGGAGTCCAGCAACATATCCACTATGTCATCTGTGACCCCACCTTTGGGGGATAATTAGGATTAGTTAAATTAATCAGGATGGGTCTTCATCTGTGAATACTCGTGGCTTTTTCAGAAGAGGAAGAGACTTTAGGCAGATACATGCTCTTATTCCCTCACCATGTAACCTGTGTGCAGTCTTGGGGCTCTGTAGTCCCACCAGTCAGAAGACTATCACTGGATGTGGCCTCTCAAAAATGGACCTATGGAGCCATGAGCTGAAGAAACCTTTTTTTATAAATTGCTCTGTGGTATTGAATTATGGCAAAAACAACAGAACAGACTAAAACAATATCTCTATAAATTCAGATGAAATATTATCAGCAAAGGCTTTTTGCAAGTAAATGTGAATCACTTTCTACTTCTTATGAATCTAAGATCTTTCATTATAGAAAGAGACAGAAACTTCATCTGAGAAAAATACAAGTGGCAGATTTTGTATTTTAATTGACAGAATTAAAGTACGCATTCAATTTGTGAATGAAATCTGCCAGCTAAATGATAAACTACCTTTCCTCGCAGGCCCTTTTAACCACCTGCTCCTTCATCAGCTTCCAACTGCTACTGGGGAGAGGGAGAGTGTGGAGAGAATAGTAGCTAAGGGAGTCATATTTGTTTAGTTTCACACAGCTAGGATTACACCTCCTCATTCTTCCTTAACCCTCCTTAATTTAGGGAAATATCTGCTGTCCTACTGAAAGAAAAGGATCCAACCTATAGGTTGTGGTTTGCAAATGGACCATGTGCTGATATTGTTTTTTAACAAAAAGGGCACTATCATCTCACTTTTGAACCACAAGACTGTATCCTTCCTATTCTCTCTGCTGTATTCTCACTGTACAACGTCTTCAAAATCAAAGAGGATTCTTGACCCTTCTCCATTTATACACCTTTCAGTAACCAAGACCCTTCCTGACTTCACTTTTTTCACTCTCTGTTCATCCTACAGGATATACTCTTTGGGTGATGTGGAGCAACCCAAGACTGGTAACTGCCTGAACTTTCTGTTCTGATATGGAGGAACTTGTGGACAACCTTGAAGCAACCCAGGGCTGATAGCTGCCTGGGCTTTCTGTTCATCCATGAACTAACCGCCCCTTCCCTGAACTGTTGAGTGCCTGGAGGCCTTAAGCAGGTTGCATTCTCTGCTTCTCTTCCAGCTCCATATTAGGGCAGACATTGAGCTCCTTTCCTGATATGACACTCCAAGCATGCTCATCCATAAAAGACTGCGTCCAACTCTCAGCCGGGGCCAGAGATTCAGAGTATTAACTCCTCTGTGCCTGCTGGTGTAATAAAATTGTTTTCCTATCTCCCTGAGTGCTGTTTCCATTCCTCAGCATCTGGTTTTCTGCAACATTTTGGTGCATTGATTGGGAAGAAGAATCAGGCTGGACCTTTGAGCCACCTACCCAAGGGTGCTCCCCCAACCCGGGATGGGCACTACAGTATGGAGAGATAGGCACACCCCCATCTCTTTTGATGGGATCCCTCAGCTGGGATGCCTGCCCTGGGGCTGAGTGTTCCTGGATCATCAGACTCTGATTGGAGAGAAGAACCAACTCCTGGACCCTGATGGATCCAGCTTGGTCACCTCTGGTAATGTGGTAAGCTCCTGGGTATCTGTAGAGCCCCACTTAGAACTAACTGATCAGAGTGGAGGAGGAGACCTGATCACTCTCCTTCAGTCACAGGACTAGCACTTAGGGCTCATTTGGTAATTGGCTGATGTGGGGAAGGAATGTATAAGCTCAATTAATGTGAGTGTTTGTGACTAGTGAATATGTTTGTGGTTCCATGGCATCATGCTACAAAGCATAATTGTTTCTGTCAATTGTGTTTCCATGGTAGTTCTGTAAAGGCTAAATGGCTGAATTGGTGCTGGGGGACCCAGTCCCTCTCTACACATCCAATCCAGCAGAAGTTCTGTATCAGATTGCTTATTGTCAAGGAAGTACATAAAGCCCACAAGGAACATAGCCAGACAAATCTATGATTCATCCCGTTTGACCAATCAAAGGGCACACCCACCCTTTGTCTGTTGCAACATAATTCATGGGAGGGGGACACAGTGGCTGATGGTAGGTCTTTCCCTATAGAGGCAGTTAGGCAGAGTAGCAAATGTCAGGTTGCCAATTCTGTCCTTGGAGACCAGGC